CCCTGATGCTCCCTGTCAGCCCTGGGTGGCTTTGGCACGTTCTGTACAATAACCCCGCGTCATGGGGACAAAGCATGACATGCGATCGTTTCTTACTCATCTACAAAGAGGAAGAGGGTCGGTGCGAACCGCTGTCTCATCCGAGACCTGCCGTGGGGAGCCAGGCGGTATCGGTGACGGAGACAAAATATAGAAAAGGAGACTCAAGTGTCTTCAAAATCCCGCGAGGGGGGGTGTGTCCCTCCGACCCACGGCGCACGGCCACGCGGGCTTTCAGTGGCGTCTATGTGTGTAGTAAACACTTCCAGTCGGGACACGGGGAATTCTCTCTCTATATTTTCTCATTTATTTCTAAAAATTAGAAAACAAAAACAAAACAAAACACTAGCCCTAACCAATTTGGCTCAGTGGATAGAGTGTCGGCCTGTGGACTGAAGGGTCCCGGGTTCGATTCCGGTCAAGGGCATGTACCTGGGTTTCGGGCACATCCCCAGTAGGAGGTGTGCAGGAGGCAGCTGATCGATGTTTCTCTCTCATCGATGTTTCTAACTCTCTATCCCTCTCCCTTCCTCTCTGTAAAAAATCAATAAAATATATTTTTTTAAAAAAAACACTATTGGAATTCATAATTTTTGTCATTTTTATTACAAAGAAGTTAAGGCATAAAGAGGCCAAGCATGACTTTGCCCTGAGTGGGGGCCGAGCCGGGACAGGAGCCAATAACTTTCTGATTTCAGATTCCACACTTTGTCTTAAAATATAAACATATATTTTTATTGATTTCAGAGAGGAAGAGAGAGGGAGAGAGAGAGAAACATCGGTGATGAGAGAGACTCATGGATCGGCTGCCTCCTGCACGCCCCACACTGGGGACGGAGCCCACAACCCAGGCATGTGCCCTGACCTGGAATCGAACCCTGACCTCCTGGTTCCTAGGTCGACGCTCAGCCACTGAGCCACGCCGGCCGGGCCAGGGAGGCCCATTTTTAAACAACCTTGACATTTGTGTCACGGGATGAAGAGCCGTAAGAGCCGCGGAATGGCGGGCGGCTCCCGTGCTAGGCATGCGGCTCGCCTCGGAACAGGAGCCCCGTGGACGGAAGCCCGGCCTCGCTTGGCCGTTCCGGAACCTGAGTCACTCGTCCAGCATGAACCTCGGAGGAGAAGGGTCCCCCGACCGGGGGCAAAGCGATAGGCGGGCCTTTCCCTCCCCTGAGCAGGAGAGGAACAAGTTCAGGTTCACCCCTGGGCTGAGTGGGCCCGATGAAACTTGGGGTAAAGAATGCACTACGCTCAGGCCTGACACCTGCAACCCTGGGCCGCCTCCCAGCGCCCAAGTGTCAAGCATATCTCCAGGTCTCACTGCAGGCATGCAATCTCCCGGCGTTATCGTCCGCAATGCATCTGCCCTGGTCAGAGAGCTCCCCCCGCTCTCCCACCCCCACCCCGCACAGAGGGGATGCCATCCAGGGCCAACATCCGAAGCCTCGCTGAGTGAGTGGGTTGAAGCCGGTGTGTGTGTGTGGGGGGGGGGTTACCCACGGGGGTCCCCTGCGCCTCCCCTCTGGGTCCCCCATGGCACCGCTCCGCTCCCGGGTTAATCATTTCCCGGCCATTATCTGCCAGGAGTTCTTATCTCTTTCCCTGTCACTTTATAACAGGGTCCTCTTATCAGCCGGCCCGGAGTCAGGTGGCCGCGGGGAGCCAATGAGAAGTCCCCCTGCTTCTGATTAGACCCCGTCCTGAAACCGGCTCCCTGGTTTACAGCAGGTCACGAATGATGGAACAAGGACAGAGTCCAGGGGAAGGCTGGCTCCCGACGTTCTGAATTCTGGGATTTTTTTTTTTTATTTGATTTTTTTTTTTTTTTTTTTTTTTTTTTTTTCCTTTTTCATCACTTTCACTCCGGGTCGCCGTGGCCCGCCGCGTCCTCCCCCCAAGGCGACACCGTGGGACGCGCTGTGTCTTTCCTGCTGCTCAATGGTTTCTGCTTTAAGCCAAAGGGCCGCCCGTCGTTTCCCTGAGGATGTCTTCCAGCTCGGACCCTGGGGACTCGCGAGACTCCCTGAAGCACGGACGTGTGCCTGTGGGTGAGTAGGCCTCGCTCTGTCTCTCACCCGTGTAGGGTTCCGCTCCGATAGGAACGCACGTAACTTACGCTCACGGATGTCGTTAGTGTGAGAAGTCGCTGCTTTTCCTGTTGTCTTCATCCAGGGCACATCAGCCCGTGTATCTACCACCCATTTATCTTCCCCGAAGTTCAAAAAAAAAAAAAACACCAAGTGGATATTTCAAATATTATTTTTATACCCACTGGGTTTTTTTGGAGATCATTCTATTAGCCTCAAACCAGCCGGGGAAATGTGTCCATGTCCCCCCTAACCGTTTCTGATCATTTTTTTTTTTCATCCGAAATAACAAGGTGAAATGGGAACAACTCGAAACAAAGTAACCATATGGCGTGATCCGGCCGCGATCACACCACACTTGACCCGAGAGCTTTCAAATGCCTGTGCGGTCTCAAGCCACAGCACGGTGGGGCATCTCATTCATTGCTCGCACCATAAAAAATGTTTTTCTGGCAAATAAGACTCATGCAAAAAAAGAAAATCCTATTATCCTTAGTTACGGATGAGAAGGGAAAGGGGGCTGTCTTGTCTGTCTAACCAGGAGTCGGTGCAGAAAGCTCATTTTCACCTAAAGAGAGAGAGTCACAAACTTGGTGTCACAGCAAGAATGCAGCCAGTTGATCCTGAAAGAAAAGGGGGGAAAGGACCCGGGGAGGTGGGCCCGGAGTCTGTCATCACTGATTTCTTGCGAGTCTGTCTCCCTTCCTGTCCCGAGTTGGTGAGGCCGGAGCCTTTCCAGCAGCCCTTTGCTGGGCTTTCAGGGGCGGGGGAGGGAGGGGGTCCCCCGCGGACGCCAGGGCCTGTCCTGAGCGCGGAGTCCCAGATCCCGTGGGGCGAGGAGGAACCTCAAGGCTGGGCCTCGGCTGGGCTCTGCCCCTGGCCGGCGAGGTGACCAGCTGACCCCGCTGCCTGCAGTGATTGCTTTTTTTATGGGCTCACTACGCCCTAAAGTGGAGCAATTGAGGAAATGGTTCCCGAGAAAAAAGCGTCCTGCCCTGGCGAGAAAGGGCACCCGGGACTGGCACGCGGGGCGCACGGGGGTGGACGGCCCTGCAGATCCAGGAGGATGGGGGCACGAAATGATTCCGAATCGGTTTTTTGTGGGTTTGTGTTTTGGGGTTTTTTTTTTGCCAGCGACG